CACACACACACACACACACACACACACACACACAGAGTTCCATCTAGACATTAGATTTCTACTTCCTGCTACTAACAACATTTATTGGCCTAAGTTAATAACTTGAAGTAGCAATTCCAAAGAATATTTTTGTCAAGGATTTGGTCACACATTTCCTCTTAAGATGTTAGCAGATACTTTCTTTTGAAAGACAATAAATTATAGATGATATTCTTCTTCTTTTTTGGAAAGGAACACGTAATTTCTCAGTTCTGTGGAAGACTGTTAATAACCTTTCAGCATGAAAGATCTACATTTTGTCCACCGGCTGTGGACTGACTTCAGTCAGAATGCACTTTTAAACAGCAGGTTCACACATTTATTTCCAAGAATTAACCTCCAAGCTGGGTGTAGGGGCATGTGCTGGTAGTCCTGGCTACTCAAGAGACTGGGGAAGGATGATCGCTTGAGCCCAGGAGTTCAAGTCCAGTCTTGAATATAGTGAGACCCTGTCTCTAAAAGAAAAATTTTAATTAAAAAAAAAGAATTAACCAATCTTACTCAAATCAAAAATTCCTCCTATGAAAGAAGGTCATTATGGTAGGTTAATTTTATGTTTCCTTCAAGCTGAGAAAGGAAGGGACTGCATACATAGTACCTTGAACATTGAAGGGGAGAGAGTGAATACCCTCATTCCATTCCCCTTCTGTTTTCTGAGACCGTTTCAGTTTCCTGTTACCAGATGGATATGAATCGTTTAGTCTTGTACTGACCAGGTTCTTCTAAGCTTCCACTACCTTTGTCTATTTAAAACCCAACACATTGCAGGGAGACCAAGGCAGACGGATCACTTGAGGTCAGGAGTTCAAGACCAGCCTGGCCAACATGACGAAACCCCGTCTCTACTAAAAATACAAAAATTAGCCGGGCGTGGTGGCACATGCCTGTAATCCCAGCTACTCACGAGGCTGAGGCAGGAGAATCGCTTGAACCCAGGAGGCAGATGTTGGAATGAGCCAAGATTGTGCTACTGCACTCCAGCCTGGGTGACAGAGCAAGACTGCATCTCTAAATAAATAAATAAATAAACCTATCATTTGTTTTTCATTTTTTTTTAATGAAAATTTCTGTGCTGTATATATCACGAACTTATTTTTGTTTCTTTTCAGACATGGCTCTTACTTAAACAGTGTTTATTCATTCCAAAGGGAACAACAATGTAACTTCTCTTTATAGGCAAGGGCTGAACCTTGATCCTCTATGGATACCCCTTAGGCTCTTGCCTTCTACTGATATTTCTAAATTACTGCCTTGTTGGAAGAATGTGTCCACTTCAGGCCAGAAAGAGTACATTTTAAAAGATGTAGCAGGGCCAGACGCAGTGGCTCACGCCTGTAATCTCAGCATTTTGGGGGACCGAGGAGGGCAGATCACTTGAGGTCAGGAGTTTGAGACCAGCCTGGCCAACATGGTCAAAACCTCTCTACTAAAAATACAAAAACTAGCCGGGTGC